TAAAGCAGGTTTCTTCAGTTATAACTCATAAGTCAGAACAGATATATTTGTTCAACATCTGATTTGACAATTTTGATTTATGAGATTTTGAAACAAATGATGTAGTGATCAATATTTACTCATAGGGCAAAACATTTACACTACCTCCTGCAAACGAGTTCCATCCATTGTGTTGAAGATTCTAATCAGAGTGCCCTTTGTACTGGCAGTAGCGAGCAACAAACCATCCAGTGTCAAGGTCATGCACGCAATACTGGAATCATGAGCATTTATGGTTTGCACCATGTTAAGCCCAAAATGTTCAACTCGAATCTCTCCTCGAAGAAGACCAGGGCAAGCCAGCACAGATGTATTTGAATAGTGAGAAAGGCAACATAATCCTCTTGGATTTGCTTGTGTTTCAATCTGATGAAGAAGTCTTAGGTCCATAAAATTGTACACGTATACCTTATGTTCAAGAACAACAACAATCCGATCCCTCCTTAATTTCACTGCATGAATTTCAGACCTAAATGAAAATTCACTGATGCAACGGCTCTGATGATCATCCCAAATTAGTACTTTGTTTGAAGGGTACAGAGAGTTAGGTCCACCACCAACAAGCGCCAATATATTGCTTCGGAAAAGCATCTCCACGATTTTAAACCCCCMGTTCTTCAGCTCACGCCTGAAAGTTTCTTTGAAAGGTTCACAGTTATATATACGAAAACCATGACTCGTCCCAGCAGCAAAACAACTGGAATCCTGATTCCAAGACACAGAAACCAACTCTGCTTCATCGATTTCATTAGATTCTGGACGCACAAAAGAGCCAGAATTGCTGTTACTGCGGTGGTCATGGCCACCATAACCACCTGGTTGCAGGATTCCTTGGGGATTTGAAACAGTTGAACTCATTTTTTTTATATCAGTTGAAATGCTACACCACTTTCATATCAAAATCAATAACCATGAAAAATAAGCAGAAGTGAGGGGATGCGATATCAAGATACAGCTTAGAATGATCTCAAACCMAGGCAAACGAAACACTGGACCTGAAAGATAGTAAATTTTACAGTTTAAAGTCATGCCAAAACACCATCTTATCGCAAAATACATAGCTCAAAACCAAAACCAGAGCAAACACAATGCAGCAACACAAGCTTCAAGGATACATCTAGAACATAAATTAATGGGATCATCATATGCACCATTAAAACTTCAGAGTGAGATCAATACTTCATATCAGACATATCTCTCAAAATTAGAGCTTAAATTAGAAGCTCAAGGTAAGAAACTACATTATGATCCAACATGATCGAACCTCGTTAATTCAAAATTCTATATGCTTGTGCAAAACTCCTATAAATAAGTG